GGGAAGATGGGTTAGACATTATCTATATGATTTTACAATAAGAAATGTCAAAAAACAAATAGTAAATGACGCACTTCATAGTTAGTCCAAGTACCCGAATTTCATAAATTCGCCGTGATGAATAAATTGAATGGTGTCTACAATAATAAACGGGTAATAATACATAATATATAATTTATATTTAATTAGTCTAACAGCCCGTCCAGTCTCATGCCTAGTTGGAACCGATTTTATTTTTTATATACAAAACCGGCTTAACCCAAAATAAAACAGGAGTTCTTACTGTTATCGTTATAGATTTGACCAAAATTCTATTATGTATTTCCGGATCACAACTTTATAAAAATAAAGGTTTAATTTTATAATTTAAAAAATTTTTAAATTTTTTAAATAAAAGACTGGGCGGGTGGGTCATTTTTCTTGTTTTATGAGAACCAAAAAATTAACTTTATATAGCCTAAAGCACTGTTATAATATGTCTTTCGCATAAAATTTACCATACGACATGCGAATGGGCACCAGGACACTTTGAGTCCTTGGAGCATGTAAAGTGTCATATATAAAATAAGTATCTGATTACGCAGCTGATACAAACAACATGCTTCCAAAGTCGTGCATATTTCCCGGTATACATAGATGGTGGCGGAATTCAAAAAAGGAAATTACAACAATATCACATGATTTCCTTTTTGAATTTCGCGTTGTTATTTTCCCTTCCTAATTTAATACAGTTATATCGCATTAAGTGACACGTATTACAAAATCATGCATATTTGCAGATCTCAAAACAAAAGATGTGTCAAAAAAAATATATAGATCTTTTTTTTGTTACTCTTCACTGCAATTAAGAGGCATAGTCAGCATGGTCACAGCTAAGATATTTGAGAGCTGAAGGTGGAAATTCTGATGAGCAATACAGTCTTGGATTCTGTAATGAAAATGGAGTAGAGTTAATGGCAAAAAGAGGCATTTGAGTGATATTTGAAATCTGCTAAAGGTGGTAATTCCGATGGATGGATGATGCAGTTTTGGATTCTGCAATGAAAATGATACATTCCCTGCTAAGAATAAAAAAGATATATGAGTGGTATTTGAATTCTGCTGGAGATATGGACAATGTATTATTGGATTTTGCAATGAAAATGGTGCATTCACAGTTAAGGATAAAAAAAAGGCATATATGTGGAATTTGAAATCTGCTGAACGTGTAATTCTGATGACTTATAGCGGACCCCATTAAAGCTGACTATAATGGAATGATTTTGTAAATGTTGTGATTTGAGTGTCGCCAAAAGAAAACCCGACAATTTAAATATAGACTATATTTAAATTGTCGGGTTTTCTTTTGACGACACTCATTTGCTATATAATACTACAACGGATAATATTATAATAATAATATTTTAAATTGTCTATAGAACACTTCATTATAGTGAGATCCGCTTTAACGGGGTCTGCTATAATGAAGATAGTGTGTATGTAGAGTGGGAAGAGCTAGTTCGAGAAATCGACGGTTGTATATAAGGCTTAATGGTGTTGAAATGTTGATGGTGATTTCTCTACCGTTCAATAAGTCGATGCTTTTCATTACGTACCTTGACTAGTTTGTATGTGGCATTTATAGTTTAATGGCGTATAATAAGTCAAACGGTTTTGACTCAAATGATAACGGTCTGAGTCCCAAATTGTGTAAATGCAGCTTTATCCTAACTACAGTACTTAAACAATGCTAATTAATGGTTTATGACTCTACAAATTTCATTGTATTCTTAGTAGGCGAACCAATTTTGATACGTATTATAATTTCGTATTATTATATTATTCTATAATACACACGTATATTTTTATTTGAATTAAAAATAGCGCGTCAAAGAAAATGTAATGTAAAAAATGTCACAGCAATAAATTTATGAATGCAGACGACCCAAAAGGCAGAATATATATATATATATATTAAAGTTGTGAATATCTATATTTTATTGTTTAATATTTATAATTCTATATATACAGTAGATTAAAATAGTCTACTATTGAAAAGTCTATTAGTAAATCTAATATTATAAATACTGTATTATTAATTATACAGGTTTTAGGTTTTATCTGCAAAACATTATTAAATACTGTATGACTTTTAAATTTGAATTTAGCAACAATTAAAAGTTGATCTATTCACAGAGACCTTTATTTATATGGACACCCCAATATGGGCCATCGTGATCTACAGAATTCCAATCTCCAAGTTGAACAGAATCAGAACAGAGCTAAGAATAACAGAAAAAATTAATTAAAATTAATATGTTTTAAAAAAAGTGTAATAATATCAAAATTTAAATATTACATTGTTTTCATCGCCTGAGCATTCGACTGCTTGGTTAGCAGTAGTATTAGCAATCCAGATTTCACCTTTATGGTGTTTATAGTCAACTTCCAAGACCAAATGAGGCACTTCATCGGCTTGATTAACAGTTCTTTTCACAGTACCCTACATATGGTAATTAATATTATTTGATTAACATCTATCATTTAGAAATAACCCTCTTTTTTTTTGAAACTTACCAAAGTTTCATCTACAAATGAAGCAAAAACAGAATTTCCAATTCGAGGTTCACCATAGGTGTATAGACACGGATTTGATCCATTAATGAATTGCTTAATATCGAGAGCGGCAAACGATGCTAATGCTATTTAAATTAAAATATTTGTTAAGCGCAAAATAATGAGTTATAAATGATAATTGTTGTTTACAAACCTGCTCCTAAACTGTGACCAGTAACAACAATATTATAACCAGGATATTGTTTCATTGAGTTAGAGATTACATCTCGAAGTTGTTGTTGAAAGGTAAGAAAAGCAGTATAAAATCCAAAATGGACAAGGGCACCTCCTGATATTAAATTAGTAGGGATACACGGAGTAGTGGATTCAAATCCATATGGACATTGGACTACTTCTATATCTTTGACAGTGTTGCCAAAATTAGAAGTTCCTCGGAAAGTGACAACGATCTCTTTATATTTCGTGTTACGAGTAATAACCGCATAAGCATCGGCACTCTCTAAAAAAAAAAAAAGAGTTTATTCAAATAATTATTTTGATGTATTATTATCAAGCTGAACAAGCCTGAATATTTACTTACGTCCTAAAATTTTTACCCATTCTGCAGGTTCAGTTGTAATAGTTTTTATAACCGTTGTTTCAGGAATATTATCGCAGTAAAATCCACATGTCCAGCTAGCAGAGTTTGAACAGTAGGAAGCTGCGGAGTAAGTAACAAACCGAGTGAGATCAGGTATATCCCCATCATCAAGGTTACAAATTCCATTTGAAGCCGATGGAGACGGTGGTTCAAACGATTTACTAGTATCGTTTGTTATAACGGGGATCGGGGAAGGATTTACGAATGTTAATATATAGGTGAAGAGCAAAAATATGAAATGACAAGAATTCATAGTTGCGATAGGTTGCTTAGTTATTTTTGCAAATTTTCTCGAATTAAAATATTCATACTTTTGTAGATTGAAATACAGTATATATATATCGCGAGACAATATTATATGAAATACCATTTGTATGTTTTGATTCGTTTTAATTGTCTGCTTTGTGTTTCATGTTATAGATTTTTGTGATCTATGTTTAATATTAATTGCGTGCATACTGTAATATTTATGCCGTTATACAGTATGTTAGGAAACCTTTATGATTTCGCAGATTATACAGTACATGTGCGAATACGTGCAAATACGAATTGCAGGTAGCGACCAGCATTGGAGAACAATTGTTTTCTTTTTACTATGTACAGTACGTTATGCTATGCGGAAATAGTTAAATCTTAATAAGCATTGTTTAGTAATTATTAAATTAATAATATTTTTAAGCGTTTACATAATTGAATTAAACAAAGCATTGAATTTCTTCATCGAAAATGATACAATTAGGGATTTTTTTTAAAACCACATCAACCAAATACTGTATTGTGAGTTTGTCCAATTTTAGAATATTGAAACTTATATCGTTATAATGAAAGTCTAATTACTAATCATGTGCTATGCCAAGCATTGTTGTTTACCTTTTCAAATCATTTCGATTTATTAACTAGCGCCTATAAAATTTTGTGTTTTGGTTATTTCCAATTTTGTTCAAGTTTATTTTATGTCAATGGTTTTTGATTTGCTGGACTGTGTTTCGTGTACCCTCATGAACAGGCACTTTTCCAATTTTATTCAAAAAGGAAATTGTTTTTAATACAGATATTTAATCTTGTGTAACAAAATAATTGATCGTTAATTACTCCTTTTAGTAACAAAATATAAACATCTGAAATTAAATTTATTAACACTAAGTATATTGTGGTTTTTAATTTCTATGCATTGGGGCGGAAAATTTAAAACCACACACTATATAGAGCACCATTCTAGCCATCCTAGTATAGCCCAAAAAATGCATAATTAAAACTAGTGTCATCTGTAAAAAAAAAAAAAATGCATCTAACGTGATAATCATGTGATAAGAAATATCACTTTACAGTTAATTCTGTATAGCGAAATCGAACATTAGTTAAAAACATAATTATATTTAATAAAGAACTTTTGAGAATTTTATAGGAAGCTAGTTCGATTAAGAAATAAAAACAATTTTGTCATTAAAACTTTAGTAACATGGTCAAAAATATTTATTTCAGTTGAAATACTTAATAAACAATTATTTTACAAATGCATGTGCAATATGAGCAATGATAATTTATCACTATTATATTAAAAAGCTTAATTTAGGGTATCCTCAAGCATCACAATCAATAACGATCTTTGTAGAATTAAATACTTGAACGTACTCTTACTATTTTCGTTCGCTATGCCTTCTAAAAAAACCTAATAAAAAATTTCTATTTAGCCAGCTATTGAAGCTTCAATTTCAGCTGTGCTGACTTCTCCTTTTAATGATATTAACAATTTAATTTTTTTTTTTTGTTGCAAAAGCAACGGAATCAACTTACGGAGTCGTTAGCGAAAGTTACTTTACGGCAACAAGAAATAAACTTTTTTCGTTAATAATATAATATTTAAAATTTTTTTTTTAAAAAAAAACCTTGTTTATAGGCAACCTATAGTAATTCTGCAGTTACTATTTCGTACTGAAAGTAGCATAGATAAGGCCACGCAAAGTTGATTTTTCGTTTTGCATTACATGGATTTCAAAATCAACGGTCGGTCGGTCGGGGGGGTTTTTTTTAATATACAGTAATTAATAGACTCATGTTTATTTGACAAAAATAAAAGCAGCTCTAAGTGCTGTAAAAAAAAAAAAAGAAAAAAAAAAAGGAGAATTAGTATACGAAATTCTCCCGATACTCTATATAACCATATTCCACACTTTCAATTTTGCTGGATATTCATTAGTTAATTTCACGATTCGTAGAAATATGTCCAAGAATACTTACTGCTAACACTTTTTGACTGTTCCACGATTCATAAACAAATTCAAAAATGCCAGCCTTCGTAACATATTGATAAAATTTCACGATTCGTAGAAATAAATATCAGATATGGTACGGACCCGCAATCGAAAGCATGTCATATCAGTACTTTTTTTAAACAGTTTGAGGAAAGTTCATAACGATCTCTCTTGCAGGACCAGTAGACCTCAAAGC